TTCGATTATCGCACTATCCACTCACACACTAGCACTTTTGTTCTAGAGATCACATTTTCTCCCCAAATCTCCAAAATCACTCACATTAATCACAAATAAGATTAAGTATGTCAAACACATTGATCGGGGGTCCATTTCCACACAGTTCGACCCCAAATTCTAAAAATTGTACTTTTGACATTTCATACATTTCGCACTGGATATTAGATCATCTATTGAATTTAATGTTATACCTTATAAAGATGCAAAAAAAAAAAGCTACTAATCTATTGCAGTTATTTTGTTGGTTTATAATCTAAAACAACCTTTAGCTCAGATTATGTGTAGGAGAAGTGCTATAACTTGAAGCACTATCAAAGTCTCTTGACATGATCATACCTTGATAGGCTTTAAGTTCCTTAGTATTTTTTTCTTTTAGTTCAAGGGTCAGAGGTGTCTGGATCAACTTATGCGCACCTTGGCTAATTCCCTCCCTGATTTAGAGTTTCTAGGCCAGCTTGCTTCCAAAATTTGTGCTGTTATTTATTCGATGCCGATCTAGGATATAATAATCCTATGATCTTTACCCTGATGTTTTTGATATATTGTTGATGATTTCTATTAGCATTCCAAAGTTTTTTTTTTCTTGTTATACTTTTTCAATCCAATTGAAATAATGGGACGATATAAAGATGGTGGCCTTTCCTTATCCATAAAATCCTACAAACAAGATTAAGGTAGGATTTAATCTAAACTATGGAAGACTTTAATAACTTTTTCACCTATGAAGTCAGATTCCCTCGAATATATTTTTTTTCTCAATTTATGTTAATCTTAAATCATAATCCCGAATAGATGGAGTTATAGTAGAACATTGAATCCCTCTTGAATTCATAGCCGACTATCTATCATTGAGAAAAACTAAATCCAGGTGTACTTTGGAACCAAAATTTGGTGTTGGCTATCATATACTTTCAAGCTAAATCTATTTGTGTCTACAAAGTTTTTGATTTCTCTCCAAAAAACGAAATTGGACCCACAACCTCCATCGTCGTCCCACCATCACCATTGTTAACCACAATCACCGTCATCAACTACCATTGTTGCCACCCACAGCTGTCACTATCATCATCGTCACTCAAAAGCCACTACCATCATCAGCATTGCCACCCACAGTTGCTATCACCACCATAGTCGTCGCCTTACCCATCACAACCATCACTGTCTCCCACCACCACCACTGTCGCCCACCACCACTACCATCGCTCATCCTCACCACAATCGGTGATTAAATTTTGTTATCTCTCCTCTATGTCTGTGATTTAATTTTAGGTATAAATACAAATATGTTGACCAAAGCATCAAATACAAAGCTAAAATACATGCTAAAACAGAGAAAATCTAACAAAGGGAGTTTGGGAGGCACATCTACACCACTAACAACATATCTCAGGGAAGCCAAGTTAAATCCTCACCATAGTTCTTCAACTCCATAACTTAACATATGCAATATTCAGTTGTCTGGAGATCAAATCCATATATTGAAGTTTGTACCATCTGTGTGTGTGAGAGACAGAGAGAAAAGGGGGCGGAGTTGATTGAGGAAGAGGAGTAAGTTAGGCCTAGGGTTTTAATTCGGAGTTCATATATATAATTAATAGGTAACAAGGATGGGGCGGGGCGGGGCAGGGGTAAGGGTAAGTCCATCCCTGCCTTCATTCCCGCACGAGTTTATACGGGTATCCCCGTATACGTCTACCGTCTAATACGTATAGTCCATCCCCGGTCCAAACGGGACGGAATTGGACGAATACCCATTTTTTCCCAGCTCACTGCCATTCCTAATATCCACATTGGACATAAGCATCGATTTCATCGCCATCCTCCATTTCTAGCTCATTAGGAGTCTGTTCCTCCCTCCGAAGGCTACGACCATCAAACGAAAATGCAATAGAGTTAAGATCCACTGATTTGAAATTGAAGTAAGCATTCATGAGCTACTTCAGTTTTGTGCACAAGGGACATGTGTTGGCATGTGGGTTTTAGGGGGGGGGGTTTGGATCTTGGGTTAAGGATTAAACCCCCTTTAAACCCATGTTCGACAACTATGCATTTAGTCCAGGGTTTGAAACCCGGCCCGGTCATGAAACCCACATACTTAGATTTCATGAAATCTAGGGGGTGAGTTTCATATGTGAGTTAATGGGTTTAACATAAAATGATATTTATAGCCCTATATATCCTATATACCCCATATATACAAATTGGTTAAGGGACACAATAGTCATTTATATACAAATATATTATCATAAAAATCATGTATCCCTAAGCATACCAAAGATGGGTATGAACAACATTGAATGTTGAATCTCATCTTTGAATTCCATTTTTTGGTCAAACTTGGGTTTGGACAAGCCAATGCAAAACCCTCCCAAAAAATATACCAAACAGGCTCGAGAGGGTTGTGGTGAGCAGGGTTTGGACAAAGGAGGGTTAGAGAATTGTTGATTCAATTCTCAAAATGATACATCATTTGGGTGTTCTGTTGCTTTAGGTCATGGTGAAGGGACGAGAGAGAGAGTGAGAGGGAGAACCCTTGGGATATCTTGGAATAAAGGGCACACGATTTGAGGGATTGGCATGATTGATGGGTACAATAGTTATTTAAAATAATTTAATTAGAATGGACTAGAGGACAAAAAATTGTACCAAAGCTTGTTTAATTAAAACTATTGTACATGTATTTAATGGCATAAAATACCATTTAGAAGGACCTTTGACCAATTTTCGGATAAAAAAAATTTGCACATTTATTTGTTATAACTCTAACTCATAAGGAGTTATCAATGTCATACTAATTCTTATTGAGTCATTAAATACATGATAAAAGGTTTTCATATAATCAGTCAAATTAGTATAATCATCACTTTTATAGGGCTTCTAGAAATAAAATCAGATCTTAACCTATCCCTAAATCAATATCAAATTCTTGTAATCATTTGGAATAGCTGATCTTATGTCTTTCAGAGATCATCTTAATGCTACCCCTTGTAATTTTTGTACTCTCGGTTTGTTTGATACAATCTTATTATGGAATGATTAATCATTAATTTGCTACTCAATGTTATTAGACCCTTCGTCAACTACTGGAACAACAACATCATGATAAGTTATGGGTATTGGGACTTTCACCCTTACTTCTTTAATAACTATATTTTGTGGTTTATCACTTCTACTATTTTCAACATTCATAATGAATCTGATACAATCAGTCTCTACGATTGTAGTACTATAGGTAGGACAGTAAAATCTATACTCTTTAAATTTTTTAAAGTAATCAATGAAATAAGTTCTGATCATTCTAAAATCTAATTTCTTTAATATGCATAATAAATTCTAGCCTCTGCTAGACAATCACATCACAAATATTCGAGTGTTTCAAACTTTTTTTTTTGGTTAGGAAATAAAAAGTGTGTCAAACTTCAAGAGCATCCAATCCACAACATAAGAGTAATGAGGAATTACAAAACATACTCATAAGCATGTTTGATCCAGAATAAATGACAAGAATTTTGTTATTTTATTGAATTTGGTCAATGCCATTCAATTATAGAATTCTAGACGATTTATTTTATATTCTAATTTAATTAAAAATTTATTTTATTTTATTTTTTGGTTTAGTTAGGATTTTTTTTTATTTGGCTTCCTAATATAATTGAGATAGTTTTTTTTTTTTCCTATTTATTCTAGTATTCGTAGGAATCCACAGATCGTTTAAAGCCTTCAAGATTGATATTCTGCAATATCAATAGGCTTAGAGTAGAAATTTAAACCAATATTTGCACGCAAATCAATGATTTTTTTTCGTTATCCCCTTTTGTTCATTATACCTATTTTTTTGCTTGCTTCATTGCATTAGTTGGTATTAGATCCCGAATACGTTCTTGTCACCATGCTGTTTAGAAGAAAACTTGTGAAGGAGATATATGAGGATGAGAACAAAGCAAAGTATGCAAGGGTACAACAACAATTTGAGGTGTTCATATGAAAAATAGTGATCTTAACTACCATTGTTCAATAACAAGTCCGGTTGCAGCAACTGCAGCATTGACCCCAAAATCCACAATGGGTGGAGATGACGAGGTAGAAAGTCTGGTGGACATGGATGAGATCCTAAAGGAGATTCAAGATTTTGGCACAAAGTCAAAAGAGGTATTCTTTATAGCAAATCATCTTATATTTGACCCCAAGTTGATTGGATTTTACCTTCAGTATTCAATGAATATCTATAATATGATTATTTAACCACTAGAACCGATGAATTTTTGATGATGCGCAAAAGTGGATTTATACACAATCAACAATTGAGTATATAACGTAGAGTAATTAAAGAAACAATTAATAAAGTAATGTGTAAAAGGTGTGTAGAGAGATGCCTCTCTCAAGTGGCGATGGCTTGCAATTGATAGGTATAGAAACTTGACTTAAGGCAGTGGTGTGATGGGAAGGTTACTAGGTTTTCGGGGAGGATAACTACAACTAGAATGAGTACAATTAGAGATAGTCTTGATCTTTGAGAGTGACAATCCTGATAATTACTCCCCACGTGAGCTAATCTTTGTGGACTTCTTGAACTTTGTACTGTGCCGAATCCATAAGCTGGGCTTGAACTGCTTTGTAGCTAATTTGGGCTGACCTAGTTAGATTTGGGCTTTTCATTTGCCCACCATGCCCCAAGCTTCAGTTGTAACAAAAGGGGTTGAGGGCATGAGTGAGCCTCTGGACAGGTAAGGGTTCTTTTTTCCCATGACAGTCCTTCAACTTCTCATTTCTACACTATGCAAAATTTCTTTCTACATCTGTCACATTAAGCATTAACCTTGTGTTGGGGTCTTTGCTAAACTTGGACTGGCACCAATCCTTATGATTTTAAAGAGCATCTCCATCTTCAATAAATCATCTATTTTGGACCTAGGGCTTAGAAACACCCTTTTCATCCTTACCCCATGAACCATTGAGAGGGAGAGAGTTTTGAGAAGATGATAGAGAAAGGGACCTCAAATCCAGGGGAATCAATGGAGAACTCCATGGTTGGCACCATGGAATCCTTAAAGTCTATAAAAATTGGAGAGCAAAGAGGTGATGCACAAGGAGCCAATTCAGGGGGTGGCATTGTTGAAAAAGGCCAAGAGGGCAGCGCCCATAGGGCTGCTGGTGATGTTGTGGAAGGCCAAGAGGATGGTGCCCATAGGACTTCTAGCAATGCTATGGTAGGCCAAGAGGGCAGCACCTATAGGGTTGCTGGCGATGCTGTTAAAGCGACTGGAAGCACCTTTGGAGAGGTAGACGATGGTGTCCAGGGCGGAGGTGATGAGGCCTTGGGTTGTGTCAGCGACGTCTCTTAGGAGCAAGTAACTTGCGCCCCAGGTGTGGCAAGCAGCAATGGTGGGTCAGGTTAGCTAGGCAACGTTGGAATAGAGAGAGGCCTAGGCAGTGCCTTTCGTATGTTCGGTAACAGGAGTGACGAAGTAAATGGCGACGCCATGGTAAGAACCCAGCCACTAGGCAACGCTAGCAAGTCACTAGATAACGCTAGTGCAATGGGTGACATTGAGCTTCGGTCGACAAGGTCTAATGTGTAGACGATGACAGGAAGTAGCTAGGGTTAGGGCGACATCACATCCCAGGCCACGGGTGATGTCAGAGCAGGAAAATTCAGCATGGGTGGTGTAAGTATCAGTGCTAGGTGGTTGCAGGGCACATGAGGCAGCGCCAAGGACGTGTTGGGAGCACTGGATAATGGAGGCTACAGGCTGGGCATCAGTCAAGGCATGTGATGAGGTATCGATCTTCACCTATGACTCGACCATTAAACTTCTGTTAACTTTGGCACCTATTCACTTTTATTGGCTTCTGTTTTTACCAGGTGACCGAGTTGGTGGAGGTAGCATGGTGGTCATTACACAGGCTTCACATCAAGGCAGAGGAGGTGTTGAAGGTGATGGGTCAAAAGCTATCTTTTATTTATAGTTCAACTGACTATGACCATGATATCGCTTGCATTGTTTCTTCATTCCATGTCCCACCTGTTGTCCTATGTTGCTGGGCCGAACAAGATAAGCCTATGTGTTTTGTGCAATGGGCAAGTGAGCACAGGGACTTATGGTGCTTCTTCATGGGATTCTTGTGGTGGTGTAGACTTGGCCACAAAGTTCGCAATTACTTGCACTTTTATGGTTGCCCTCAATGAGTACTGCACGTCGAAATCGCTCAACTTGATGACCCATTTGAGGATTCAATCGAACATGCCTAACTTTCTTAGGTGGTTGATCTGTGACAACCACAATGGTGTGGCCCTAGAAGTAATGGTGTAGGCATCTGACTATGGTGACAAGTGCAAAGGCCAACTTCTCCAGCTCAGAATATCTTACCTCCGCTCCTTGCTATGCCCTGATTACATAGTATACTAGCCTTTGGATTCCTCCATCTTCCCTGACAAGGACATAGCTCGTTGTAGAGGACGAGGAGGAGAGGTAGATATATAAGGTTTCTCCTGGTATAACATGGGAGAGAAAGGGGTGTAACGAGGTAGGCCTTTAACTTTTGGAAGGCCTCCTCTGCATCTAGTCTCTAGTGGAAAGATTTGTAGAGGATTTAAAAAAAAGATAGACATTTTTCTACTGATTTTGAGACAAACCTGTTGAGCGCTACTATCCTCCCATTAAAACGCTGGACCTCCTTCACAGAAGTTAGGGACTTCATCGTCAAGATAGCTCTGATATTGTCTGAGTTGGCTTAAATACCCCTTTTGTTCACCATGAAGCCTAGGAATTTTTTGGAGCTTACGTCGAAGACGCACTTTTCAGGATTTAGCTTTATCTTGTAGGCTCTCAGGATGTCAAAATTCTCCTTCAAATGTGTCACATGGTCTGTTGTAGTCATACTTTTCACCAACATGTCATCCACATAGACTTCACGCTCTTCCTAATATGTACCTCGAACATCTTGTTCATAAGGTGCTTATCCTTAACTTCAACGTTCTTGAGTCTGAAAGGCATAACCCAATATCAATAGTTTCATTTTTGGGGTTATGAAGGAGGTTTTCTCCTAGTATGGAGGAAACATGCTAATCTGGTTTTATCTAGAATAAGCATCTAGAAAGCTCAGGAGCTCGTGTCCCCGTAGTTGCTTCAATAAGGACGTTGATGTGTGGTAGGGGATAACTATCTTTGGGACAGGCTTTGTTGAGCTTCGTGAAGTCCACACAGAGGCAACACTTCCTATTGGCTTTTGTCACAATTACCACATTCGATAGCCAATCTGAGTAAGCTACCTCTCTTACTGACGTATTTGCCAACAACTTTTCCACTTCCTTCTCCATTGTCTGGCCTTTCTCGATACTTATATTTCTCATCTTTTGGCAAATAGGTTTGTATTTGGGATCATCATTGAGCCGGTAGGTGGCCACTTCAGGATTAATGCCCTCCAGGTCTTTGTGGTACCAGGTCCTCTCGTCCAGTTCTACTAGCTGAAGTTCTTCTACTGGTTCCTTTCTTTCGAAGGTGCTGTCATCTCGAGGGTTAAACACTTCAACTTGGAGGGTCTCCTAATCCTCATAGAGGCCACGTAGTATTCTCTAGTGGAGACCTAGTTTCCTCTGACTTCTTTGATCCCACTGGGTATTGGGAAACAGAGGAGTACGTGGTAGGTGGATGGCACTGTCCTTATGGTGTTGAGTGTAGGGCATCCAAGAATGATGTTATAGGCAGAAGGACAATCTAGTATAATGAAGTTTACCATAATGGTGGAGCTTATTGGCATTGTCCTTGTTGTGACTGGCAGGTGATAGAACCCATAGGAAAAACCCTTTCCCTCGAGAATCCAAAAGGGGTGTCCTGACGAGTTGCAATCTTTCCCTACCAAGGTGTAGACAGTCATAGGATGGTGCAAACAGGATATTGGTTGAGCTACCGTTGTTGACCAAAATTCTCTTAACCTAGTTGTTGGCTACCATCAAGGTCAAGACTAGAGGGTCATCATGGGGGACTTGGATTCCCTCGAGGTCCCTGTCGGAGAAGGTGATGATCTATTTTATCCTGTGCCAGGGTGTCTTTGTCAGGCGACAGTCATTTGACTCTTGTTTGGTTTTTCAGGTGTGGGATTTCTTGGCGGAGTTGGAATCACCATCTCCTCCTAGCCCTTCTAAGATCTTCTAGATCTCTCCGAGGTGTTGTTGGCATTCTCTGTTATCGTAGAACCAGTCAGGTGATGGGGCTTGTCCTCTGCTAGCAACGTACAGCCTCAATTGGCAACGTTGTATGGGCTCTTCGATCTACCTCTTAAGCTCACAACCGTCATCAGTGTCAGGGCCATGGTAGCAGTGGAAACGGTTGTATTTGTTTGGATTTCTTTGATTCAAGGCAGACTTTATCTTTCCTGACCCCCAAAGAGTAGGATCATCCTATAGTTGGAACAGTATATGCTCCACCGAAGCATTGAGCAGCGTAAAGGCTTGTCACTCTCTCTGAGGTGTAGGACTGAGGTGGTCCTTGATAAAGACTCTCCCTGTCCACTTCATCTTGTTCTCTATTTCCTAGTCGTCCTCACGGGTTTCCTTTCTTTACTCACCTCCTTTGGAGGACTCACCTCGTCTAGCCTTGGTGACATCCTCGACATTCATGTACTTTTGTGCCCTTGACAGCAACTCGGGCATCTTAGAGGGCAACTTCTTCAAGACAAAGTACATGAAACTAGAGAAGTGCATACCCGCAATAAAGGTGTCCATGGTTACCTTGTCGTCTGGCTCCTCGATCTGGAGAGCCTCCTCATTAAAACTAGTGAGGTAGTTCCTTAGGCTTTCATCTCGATCCTGCTTGATGGTGAGTAGGTGGGTAACTAGTTTCTAGTGTCAACGTCCTCCAATGAAATGGGAGACTAAAGATTTGCTCAACTCCACAAAGAAGTGGATATAAGAGGGTTTCAACCTCGCAAACCATTGTCATGCAGATCCTTTAAGGGTGGTAGGGAAGGTTTTGCACATGATCTTATCAGGGACGTTGTGGAGCTACATGAGAGACTTCTACATTTCATGATAGTCTAGCGGATCCTTGGTTGCATCAAAGATCTCAATGGCAAGCATCTTGAACTTTGAGGGTAGTTGATAACATTCACCACAAACGGAGTTAGTACGCCTTACCAGATAATCCACCATCTCTTGTGCTTGCGCCTTAATGGCATTGAGGGCATCGCGAAGTTGATTTTGCACTCCTTGATCTTTTCGTCTCATTGGTTAGGGACCCCCTATGTTAGGTCATTATAGTAACTCTCATAATCCATATATTGGTTCTCCCCTTCATCCTCCTGCCTGAGATGGTTGGCTACGTACGAGGGAGGACAAGTACATGAGGAGGCAGAGCTTGCGAGGTGCCTGGGCGTTGAGGGTGGCACTCTAGGCGTGGGGCACCTAGACGTTGCATGGGGGCACCTTGACACTAGGTGCCGCGCTAGGGGCGCACAGAGGGGAGGTGGTGTGGAACCTCTCCTATCGAAAGGAATGAGACTCCTCCTGCTTGCTGGTGGGTAACTCCTCCTGAGGTGAGCATCAATTGGAGAATTTGTTGGTTTTGACTCAACTAACAAGTGCATGGTCTCCAAAAGCTATTGTTCGACCATAATATTTGCCGCGGTGGATGGTTCTACTGACGGAGGCGAAAAACTCACCGATTTGGTTGTCATTGCCATGGATGTGAAAGAAACTAGAAAGGTAGCAGAAAACTCAGTTGTTTTCCATAGACGGTGCCAAATTAATGATGCAAAAGTGGATTTGTGCACAATCAATAGTCGAATATATGATTCAAAGTAAATAATAAAAAAATTAAGTTGAGAAGGCAAAGAATGGATGGTTGGGCCTAGGTGACCATACAACTGAAGGCATCAACGATGGTTAGAGAACTTTATTAATAAAGCAGGAGTTGTGTGTGTGAGAGAGAGAAAAGAGAGAGAGAGAGAGAGTGCAAAGGTAAGTTCTAAGAGAGATTGGGTAGCTAAGAGAGAGGTAACTGTGTAAAGGGTGTGTAGAGAGATGCCTCTCGCATGTGGAGAGGGTTTACAATTTATAGGCACAAAAATTTGACTTAAGGTAGTGGCGTGATGAGTAGGTTACTAGCTTTTCTGGGAGTATAGCTACAACTATGATATGTACAATTAGAGATAGTTTGATCTTTGAGAGTGCCTATCCTGCTAATTACTCCCCACATGCGCTAATCTTTTTGGACTCCTTAAACTTTGGATTGGGATGAATCCATGAGCTGGACTTGAATTGCTTTGTTGCTAGTTTGGGTTTGTCTCATTAATTGGGCTTGACCCAATTAGATTTGCGCTCATCAATTTTGTTTCCCTGATATATGATGAAAATATCGAGGATTATTATCTTGTCACTACCGAACATGGTGTTGATGCCTTGATAGTGCTAGACTCCGTGGAAGATAACACGGTTGTGGTAGATTTTTATAGCGTCAAGGTTCATGCTCATGGCGCTGATCATATGGAAGATAAGTAAATGATTTCCAAATCATCCTATAAGGATGAAATCTTGATTCAAGAAGCAACGACCCAACTCATATTATGTTGGGTCAATTCTAGCGGTGATGACGGTGAGTACGTGGATGCCAGTTACAATTCAGGATTGTGTTTAGAATAATTCTCATTAGAAAATGATGATCCGTTTTGGTAGAAATTCTCTAAGAAAGTTCTGAATTGTTAGATTTTTATACTTTATATGATAAAAGAGCATGAGAGTGAAAAGTTGTGAACACACTCAAGACAAGATCACATTCAGATTGATTCTAATCGTCTTTTGCAATTTATCAAAAGTCAAGCTTTTGGAATATCTAAAAGGGTGAAATTTTGGGCTGGTCAAAAATTTAAATTCAAACAAATATCAAGTTATCAAATCCTGTTTCGATGGGTTGGTCGGAATCCTAAATTCAAATATTGAAGCGAATTCGAGGGAGAATGATGCAAAATAAATGGAAAAAAATTTGGTATTTTATTGAACGTGGTCAATGCAGTTCAATTTTAGAAGCCTAGACGATTTCATTTTATTTTACTTTTTGGTTCAATTAGGATTTTATTTTATTTAGTTTTCTAATTTAATTAGGATTCTGATTTCCTAATTAAATTGTTGTTTCTTGCACTATTTTTACTTTTGTAAGCCTTAGGGATCAACAACTTTGGATTATTCAATACAATTGAGAGAGTTTCTCTTTTCTTTCCAATTATTCTAGTATTCGTTGGAATCAACAGATTGATTGAAATCTTTAAAACTAGTATTATGGAAAAGCTATAATTCTTTTAGTATTTTAGCTATAATTCTTTTGTTTTTGTATCCTATTGAGCTGATTTTTGTTGCATTAGAAACTAGACTTAGAAGGCTACAAAAGTGTATTTCATAAAAATATTGTAAACTAGCTTCTAGGTAGGTCAAAATGAGCTCAATATTGTAAATTGTTCACTTGAATGCTTTATTCTATAATCTCTTTCATATTTCGATTGAATTATTATTGTGCTTTGACAATTATTGAATTTTGAATGTTGGAAAACATAGATTTTTTACAAAATTTTATTTGTTGTGATGGGATTGATGAACTGTGAACATATATGAACCTATATCGCAGAGTGTTTAGATGTGTTTCTTACCTTGAGGGGTTTGAAAGTTTCCTATCACTCGTAGTAGTGTTGGTTCCTTTCAGGGTTTCCAACCCATTATTCATTCCATAGGGGACCAAGGCTGAGGGTTGGTATACCACAATCCTAGGAAGGATTCATCACTACTGATATGTAAGTATACGCCCTTCTTGAATAGTGTTGCCCTAAGGGGTGTTATTTTTGAGAAGATGGAGCTTTGTGGGCCAAATATACTCTTGTTGTGAATTCTTATTTATTCAATTTGTATGCATGAGATATTTTGTTGTGAAATATGGTTTTATGAATGGTTCTATGCTTATTCAAATATTAATGTTTCTATTGAGTAAACTAGAGATGGTTAATTGACACGGTTTTACTTCAAACTTATATATGTTAGTTTACAAACTGAGAGACTTACATGTCTTATGATTTCTACACCTTATTTAGGTTTGAGAAGCTTTTTCTGTTGGGCTTGTGCAATCACTCTATAAGATTTGGCCTCGAGGAAGATATAATCTTAGGTGAGCAGGTTCATTATGAGTTTTCAGGGGATGAAGACGTAGATTTGGAATTTGAGGCACAGAGAGTGACTTCTTAGGTGAAATATCTAAATTTTGGTTTATTGGATAATGTTTAAGAATATTTCTTTATTATTTAGTTTGCAGGCATTATCCTGGCTTTATTAGATGTAATCTTAAGGATTTCTTTATGTTTTATTTGAGATTTTAGTTTAGTCAAATATTGAATGACAAATATTTTTATTTATTTAATGGTTACCTTAATATCCTTTTATAATTTGATGGTTGTTAGTTAGTTCATGTCTGAATATGAATTTGGGCGTGATAGTTCTTAAGTTAGTATATATATTCCAAGTGTGCTTTAAAGGTTGGGCCCCCAAGGATCACCCTACTTTTGTAGAAGGAAGAGTACCTAGATGGGCTTGTGTTCGGCCAGACGTTGCCACTCAATCAAGCTCAGGTTCGGGTGTGGTTGTGGGTCTAATCCAACTTTATCTTTATGGGTAAATATCACAATGCATTAGGTCTCAATAACATTGCTTAAAAATTAATAATCATTTAGGTAGGGTTCTATTTTAATCGATATCACACTAATACTCTAGGCACAATTAAATATATATAAATTTGAGTTTAAAAATACATGTCTAATATTAAGAAAAAAAAAGTTTTAAGGGTAGGCACATCGAAGGATGGTTTTTCCCCTGTCCGATCATTGTACCTTAGGAAGCAGGCGCTGAAGCAGATCCATAAAAAGCAATGTGGGCCTGTAATTTGTACTAAGTATATAGTATCAAATACTAACCTTGATCGACGCCTAAAAGTTCCAATTTGGCAATTGGGTTAGTTTAGTTTATTGTTATTGTCTTTATTTTGCATCAATAATTTTAGAAATCATGATAAATATTTTGTGTATATTATACATCCTCCTATCAATCTTAAGACATATTTTGTTATAGTTACTTATTCTGTTTCTGACTAGTATTTTAAACTATTTTGAATACTATAAGTTTAAGTATTTAATTTTTACAATTTGTGTATTATTATTATTATTCTCTCTATGCTACAATATTTTGTTTTTATTTATTGCAAAAATCTATTATTTATAACTTAAGTACACTATTTTTTGATTGTTACTACAAAAATTGTTCTGGATACTAATTTTTGTATTCTAGTTACTAATTTGTGTATTTTTGTTACTGCTATTCAAGTTTTTAAGTATTATGTTTATTAGAAATGGAAATAACTAAAAATAATAACTCTATTACTACAAATCTTGTGGTGCCTATTACTGTCTCTACTCGTGTGACTCATGAAGAGAAACCTGAAAAGTTCAATGGGAACAATTTCAAGAGATGTCGATAAAATATGTTATTCTATCCCACTAGGTTGAACCTTGCAAAGTTTTTTCTTGAAGATGTTCTTGATTTTTTGTGCAAGAATTATATTTTCAATTGTTTAGATAACACAATGTACAATGTTTATAGTCCAATCAAGACAACTAAAGAACTTTGGGAATCCTGGGATCAATTGATAAGCAATTTACATTTGATTTGATGGGTTATTTAGGGACTTTTAAATTATTGGACGATTACTAGCCATTGGACTTAAAGTCCATAATGGTTATCCAACTATTTGCCTATATATAAAGCAATTGTTGATGGTCTTGAGAATGCTAACTACTGCTAGCTTTCTATCGACACTATACCCTAGCCCAGTGTCCACCTTTTTCATTTAACTTAGATTTACAACTTTAACATTGCTTATTTATTTATTAATAGTGTCCTAGTTATACTTATATACCTACAAATATTTTGTCTTGACTATGTTTTGGAGAAACTCGATTCGAGTGAGGTTAAACCTGCTTGTCAATATAGGCAAAACCTGAGGACATATGGCCTTGAGTCATAGTTGAATCTTAGAGCTATTGATGTATGTTATGTTGGTCCTTCCAGGAGGCGGAACTTGTAAAACCCAAGAATTTTTTTTTTTTTTAACTTTTATGAAAAAGAGCAAAACAGTAATTAGCTGCTACAATACGGGTTGAAAACCATAATTTTTCTAGAACTTGAATGACAAAAAGGACCTCATTGTTGGATTCATTTTGTGAAATCTAGTAGCCCAAAAAATTTTCATTGAATTTCGAGACAGTCGGATTTTTTGCATTTTAAAATAAACTTGTAATTAAAATAAACCCGATCAAGATATAATTGTGAAACATGAAACATAATTTAAAGTTAGTTTGAATAAAATATAGTAAACCTAATATAAAACGAGATTTAATTGATTTGGAATAAAATCGAATTAAAAAAAGACGGGATGTGTGGCGCATTATGGGTCAAGTATCCAAGGGTATAAAAAGGGGAGAAAATCATATTTTGCCCCATTTGTTGCTGGTTTTTCTGGAAAAAGAGAGAGGGGATAGAAGAGAAAACTTCAAGGGTTCTTCCATCTTCTTCTTACAATCTAGGGCTAACCGTTCGTCGAATCGCATCGGGCTAAGAACAAAAGTTGTTCTACGCAATGACAGCTATGTCTACATGCCAAAAAAATTCACGAAATTAGCCGAAGTTTGAAGATTGAGATTTTTGGAAATTAAGATTTAAAGCTTGATTTGGACTTCTTTGAGTTTCTACCACTTGTAATATGCTTCAAGAAGTAGGGTTCTTCTCCTAGCTAGCTTTATTTTCAACCTAGGGTTTGCATATGAAGTGGGTAAGAAGATTAGAGATGATATCTCTTATCTTGACATATTCTTAGTGTGACTAGAGTATGGAAAATGGGTATAGAAAATGTTAAACCAATTCTTGTACAAATTGAGTTCGTTGAAATTGCTTGATTTGGGAATTTCATGGATAATGTGATTTGTTGGGCATGATTATGTGTTAAATGATTATGTGTTTTAAAGGTGTTTGATAAAATGTCAAGGGAGGATTAAGCATGTTAATTGAATGGATAAGATATAATATGCTTGGTGAAAATTGTGTATGTCATGCTACACTCATGATATAACGAACATGACATTCGAATTGCAATCGTACATTAGATTGCATATGCATAAAAAGTACCACATTCGTGGGTATTTGACAAGGGTGTGAGTTTGTGCATGGTTTTGATCAAACACCATTCCTGGTGGATGATGCGTGGGCTCAGGAAAGTTGGAGGAAGGTTCAACTGAGTCTCACGAGTTGCATTAAAAATAGGGTTGTGGTTAGTAAGAAGGGCAAGATTATTCCTCAAGTGCAAGACCCGATGATTTGGATGCGCACTCCAATGGTATTGAGTTCATAAAGTGTGTCAGCGTACACAGAGCCGTTGGTGGAAGTCTATAGATGATGTGTTAGTTGGATACCC